ATTAAAAAGTTTAGTAAGCCAAGAAATTCTTTCATCTCCTAAGCATTTCCACACCTCTATTGGAATATCATCGTGTCCAACAGCTTTTCCACCCTTCATTTTCTTTAAAGCCTCTCTAACTTCGGTTTTACTAATACGTCGATAAAAACTGAAATCTTTATTTTCATTTAGGGTGCTAAGGTCACTACAGTCAATCTTATTTTCACAATCTTCATTAAAAAGTTTAGCAAAATATCTCATCAACCTTTGTTGCATATCATCTTCTAAGAAAAATATTTTTTGATCTTCATCCACCATTGTCAGACTGCTTTTGATAGTTTATGTAAAAGTTTTACTCGAATTTATTTCTTATACAAACCATTTAACTTGATTAAAATATTTGATAAACAGACTTTGTATTGAGCTTGGGTTAATGTGGGAGGTCCTATGGCATAGAATCATATATCATTTCTTATGCACTGTGACACTGTCCATCACATCTAGTTTTAATGCACTATCTTCAAGTTCGAACAATCTTAAAACGGTATAAATGCTTGTACTGCATTGATCTGTTGATGTTGAATTGGATTGACCCTGTTGATTTTGTTGGAATGTCATTGAATTCAAAATTAAAATATTAGGCGAATGATTGGTGCTTTCCTTCTTAGAATTGAAAAGTAATTTTAAATTGCATGGTACTGTTGCCTTTGTCTCTGTACTTAAATATTTCAAAAACATGTTGAGTTAATATATGTATTTTTTTCATCTTGGTTTTTTTATTCCTTATCCAATCGTATCATTTCTATGAAGAGTACTGCTGCTCTCCCTAAACAAATTCATACATGAAAATGGGATTGGTCTCCAGTTTGCTAAGTGGACCAATCTAAGTTGGAAGAGAATGTCATGCACGTTTGTTTGAGGGAATGCTATTTTTTGTGTGGATTTGTTTCGGGATTGAAGCATTACTCTTCTATGTATTAATAAAGGATATCATAATGTTACATTAGAATGCCTTCTTTAGTTGCTTTACTAGGAAATTCCAATTATGTTCTTCTGTTCCTGGTGGGAGTTTCAAAAACAGCAGCATTAGTCAGGTGCCTTCTTTATCTCCTTTACAGAGAAAAGTGGGAGGCAGGAGCTTTTCTTTTTAGATGCCTAATCTATAAAACTTCCGTACTTCTATTAGTATTAGCAGCTCAATGCCTGCTTCATTATGTGGGAGGCATTGAAACAACTTTTGTTAGAATATCAGGTTCAATTTTAAATTTTATTATTTTCTTGCTGTGTGTGTATATATATATCTCAAAGAATTAGGAAAAGGACGATGGTGATTTTCTTATCATTTAAATTGTTTTCCAAACCAAATCAAAAGTACTCAGGGCCTTGTAATTAAAGCTGATTTCTGAAGTTGCTGATAGAAGACTGATGAAACGTTAGTTTTCCTATGCAGTGAAGGGATGAGGCAAGTGAACATTTAAAATCACGGGCTTTGTACTTAAATTTCAGGTTGACTGCTTTCAGCGAGTGGTTTTCTGTGCTTGCATCATCGACATCGACGACATGCTACCTATATTTTGGCTATTCCTTTCTGACATTATAGAATTCTACCTTTTCTTGTTAGAAATTTGAAGAAGGTTGGATGTTAATAATTTTTCCTTGCAGGTAATGGAGAATCTTTTGTTTGTAAACCATGCGAGGAATTCATTTATGCAGTTGACAGTTAAACCGGGATCTTCTATTCATGGTCCCACCCAAAACGCCTTTGGTCAGAGCAGTCTTCAACGCCCATCTATCAGCCCAGCAACTTCTGATTACCTATTTAGAGATAATTGCAGCAATGTTGACAGATCCTTGTCTATGAAATGGAACAATCAGCTTTCCATCTCTTCAGCTACAAGATCATTGAGCCACAATTCTTCTTCTTTGTCCGCTCAGATTAAGGAAAAAATGTCAAAAGTTGATGCAGAAGGGCTGTCAAACAAGAAAAATGCGGGTGTTGCATCGGTGCCTGTTGCTGAGTTAGGTCAGCCTATGGTTCATCAAGCAGGAAACACTCTTTTTCATCTTAATAAACACTTAGTAAATGAACTAGTGGGGGCTCAGGTGACATCTAATAAGGATATGATTTCATTTAGTAGGATGCCTGCTACTTTAAGTAGTTTATCTTTCAGGGAACAGAACCTTCTCTCTGAGTGTCATAACAGAACTCAGGAGCCTGCTATTGCCATCAAGGCTTCAGTTGATGGTATGTTCGGAGATTTTGACGCTGATTCTCTACTTGAAAAAAATGAACCAATGGATATTGCAAAGGATATGGAAAGATTGGCTTCAGCTTCATCTTGCACTTCAGAGATTGTCCTCACTCATAGTAATGTTTCTTGTGCCAATCACCTGGGCAAGATTCGGGATTTGAACTCTTTGAATGGAAATCAATCAATTTCAATAAATTCTTACTCAGTAAGTTCATCCAAAAGATCTCAAGGAGTTTCAATGCCCGGCAATCTTAGGCATGGGAATGGTTTGGCACATGCATCAGGCGTTTCATCCAGTTCTTGTGGGTTGTCATTGATTGGCCTTCAAGAATGTCAGTTCAGCCAAGACATTAAAAATACAGACTTTCATGATGAGAGTTGCAAGGTTCAGAAGTTGCATAAAATTTGTGCTGAGAATGATTCCAGCTTTATTTTTATGCCAAATGAGAAATCTTTATCCTTCTCTCAACTGGCCAATTCAGGGGATGATCTGTTTGACGTGTTGGGCCTTTATACCGGTTTGGATAGAGATAAGTCTTGCGAGCAGCAATTCACAGCAGATATTCCTCCTTGCAGTTGCCAATTGGACCTTTCCCCAATATTTTACCCCGTTGATGATAATATATCTTGCACTGAGGTTTTCTCAGAATCCAATACTGATCAACTATTGGATGCGGTTGTCTCAAGTATCTACCAAGGTGGCAGACATAGCTTACATGAGAATCCATCTTGGAAAGCATCAGAGACAAAACTAAGTGGCTCATCAATTCCTTGTGCTTCTAGTAATGATTGGTCTACTTCATCTGGACAGAAGCAAGGAGATTATATTTCTTCTTCTATGGTAAAAAGTAATACAGAGGCAACCGGTTCAGCTTGTGTGAGGACAGCAGATAGTGTTGATGAAACTGAAAGGCCTGGTTATAATAAATCCCATGCTAGTTTATGGGTTGAAAGTGGGAAAAACAGGAGTAGTGATAACTTATTTGAATCACATGGTAAAATGATTGATGAATCAAGTAAGCTTCATCGAAAGAGAGCAAGGCCTGGAGAGACCCCACGACCTAGGCCTAAAGACCGCCAGTTGATAATGGACCGTGTCAAGGAATTAAGGGAAATTGTGCCAAGTGGGGCAAAGGTGTGCTTATTTTATTGAAACGTGGAATTTGTATTTAGTTTTTGCAATATCTACAATGCAACTTATTTATTCATTTATAGTTTTGATGTATGATATTTTGATCTTGTTTATAAAAACATGCGTGCAGTGTAGTATCGATGCTTTATTGGAAAAGACCATCAAGCACATGCTTTTCCTGCAGAGTGTATCCAAGCATGCAGATAAACTGAAGAAAACTGGAGAACCTAAGGTATGCTGTATTGTATTTTAGTTCTACATACTTTGAAAATTGGAGAACCCACATTTTAGATATATCGGGTGGTCTATTGTTCAAGTCATGGTGAAATAGATGCGGATATAATTAGTAGAATTTAAGTTGGATTGTTGAACGGGAGGAATGCATTGGGCCTATTGTGTGATAGAAAAATACCCCTCAAGGGAAAATTCTATAAGACAGTGGTGAGACCTGCAATGATTTATGGAGCAGAATGTTGGTCATTAAAAAGAAGCATAAAATTAAGTTAAGTGTTGTAGAGATGAGAATGCTTAGGTGGATGAGTGGATACACTCTTAGAGACAAAATACGAAATGAGTATATAGGTGAAAATGTTGGAGTAGCTCTAGTAGCAGATACGATTCAAGAGAGTCGCCTTAGATGGTTTGTCCTATGTTACGAAAGGTAGATGTATACTTAAAAATGTTAGAAAATATTAAAATTTTTCTTTTTAACTAGATTTAAATGAGAATTTAACAATTAATATGACACAATGAAGAAAAATGATTCATATAGGCAACCCCATATAGTGGGATAAAGACTTGATATTGTTGTTGTATACTTTGAATGAACTTACAGTGCAAATAGGGATCAGTGGCCTGTAGTCTAGACCTTTTAACTACATTAATAGCTATCTGTCAAACTAGCAAGAATCCCTCTGCAGTGCACGCATTAGTAAGCTACATGGTAGCAAAACTTTGCTTTTAGATGAAAAAAAGCTTAATGAAACTATTGGATGTGTTAAGTTTCTAGCATGAGAAAGAAGATGGATCTTCTTGAGCTTGGATGAGAGAGAGAGAGAGAGGGAAGGGAGAAGAGGGAGAGAGGAATTGCAAGAATTTCTTATTCCTTTATACAAATGGGCTTGTAGAAGAGTTCTTCTTACATCAACTTCAATGCTATTTATAGGCATTTACAAGGAGTATGATAGCTTGTGGATTAACCTAATATAAAATCGGGCCAATACACAACAAACTTCACCTTGATCCGATTTTACGATCAAATAACCACCTGTGCGCCTGCTGTGATTTGACTGGCTCTCTACACTAACTCCACGAGCAAACCCGCCGAACCGAACCCAATTTTTCTTGAGCCCGGTCTTCATTGTGCTTTCCGATTCATGGCTTCAGCTTGCGTTCCTGTGTGTTCTAACCCATACGCGCCTGCACCCGTCGCTATTCCTCCCATGATCCGCACGTTCGTGCCTTGTGCATCGCCTGCTCCTGTGAGCTTCTAGCCCATGCATTTGCTCCTGCACCGCACGCCTGCGTTCTTAGGCACCAGTGCACGCTCCAACTTGTGATTTCGCACGAGCCACCCGTCCGCGACCAACCTTCCGCTCCGAGGTTCTTGATCTTGCTAGTTTCTCTTCACTGCTTCGACACACCCGGAGACTCCATCTCAAAAGATTTGTCCTCTTCCTTGCGTGGACACCTGCACCACCATTTACCATTTAAATTGTTTGTTCGCTCCTTTCGAACCTACTCCGATCCCTCCTTGATTACAAGATCCCGCAGGCTCGCGATCAGATTCTAATCTCCCTTTGTTGAATAAAAGAAGCACCCATGCCACAAGACATCGGCTTCGTCTCGCAACTTGTACTAGCCTTCGACCAACCTCCGCGTGATAGCCCTGCGCCCTATGTGCCCGTTCTTTCACGAACAGCCTGAAATCTTTACCGCACGAACATCCCTGCGCAATATGGCCAACTTCATCACGAATAGTCCGCTATTTCCTGCGTGTGCCCGAACTGGTGTTCGACTCCGCCTCTGCTCCAGTACCCCGTGCCCACGGGACCTCATGGCAAACCCGCACTTACGTTCGACCTGCTCCGAGCCTGCCTGCCGCAAAACCATGGCCCAGCTTGCATCTCGTGTGGCCTAGCCCGTGCACCGCGCACTCGCACCTGTAGCCTCGCCTTGATCCCGTGTTAATGCTTCCCGCATGACACCAACTCCAAGCCTCCCGACCTCATGTCGCCTGCTCGCTCACCCAGAGTCGTACGTAAGCCAGCCTCCAATTCAGCCCGCTTGCCTCTGTCGAACCCTGTTGCATACCTCTTATCTGCCTCATGCTAACAAACCCATGTGAGCACGCTGGTCAGGGCATCGATAGCTATCGCCTTCTCTCTTTCTTGGACAAGAACCTTCCTCCTTCATCGAGATTGCCTCAACGAAGTTTTGATACCACTTATTTAGGTTGTAGCATGAGGAAGAAGATGTATCTTCTTTATCTTGGATGAGAGAGAGAGAGGGAAGGGAGGAGAGGGAGAGAGGAGGTGCAGGAATTTCTTATTCCTTTATTCAAATGGGCTTGTACAAGGGGAGCTCTTCTCAAATCAACTACAATGCTATTTATAGGCATTTACAAGGAGTGTGATAGCTTGCGTATCAACCTAATCTAATACTAGACCAATACACAACATGATGAACATTTGTTTTGAGTACTTGAGAAAAGACACATAAAACCAATACATTAAGCTTTATATTAGATTTCCTATGAATTTTGAAAATAATACTATTATGATGGACATATAAACTAGGTCGCAAGAAAGGAATTTAGTTATTTCAAGTATGAGAATTTACAGAATTCTGATAGGAGTAATTCCTATAAGATTAATTCAAATGTAACTAAATGGAACTTAAAGAAAAAAAAAATGAATTCAGGAAAAGAATGGTGCTCTTTAAAAGCCTCTTTTGGAGGAACTTTTATTTGGTCAGATGACCTGACGTAGATCTACGTTCGGATCGGACGCCAGTAAAATAATGCAACGTGTTCTTACTTTACCGCGCGGCCCGACAACTCGACCCGGAACGGCCCCGGGATTGTTCTGTTCGCGTATTGCTAGGTACTGGTCGATTTTGCTCGGCAATAACGAGAAATACCATTATGTGAAGACCAATACCGAGCAATACTGAGTTTTGCTAGGTATTGCTCGGTATTGGTCTTCACAGAGCGATATTTTTAATTATTGTCAAGCAATACCGAGCAATACCTAGCAATATGCAAACATAGCAATCCCGGGTTCCGGTCCGGGTCAAGTCGTCGGGCCGCGCGGCAAAGAGTAAGAGCATGTGGCGACATGTTATTGACGTCCGAACGTAGAGCTACGTCAGGACACCTGACCTAATAATTTTTCCTTTTGGAGAGATATTTGTAGTCATGAGACGAAGATAATGTGCTTGAATATTTAAAGCTAATTTAAATTAAAGAAAGTATGCATCTCAAATTTGATAAGAATTTTGAAACTTGAAAGTAGAATTGCAAAAAATATCATTTTTTAAGAGAGTCGATTTTAAAATTTAGGAAAAAGTATGGGTAAAATATGAAAAAATAAATCACATATTTTTTATTGAAAAAAAATCCCTGATTAAATAATGAACATATATGAAAATAGAAATTATATTTTTGTCAATTGAATTTGTCACCTGTTAACTAGGTTTTGCCAAATTGGCCTCACAAAAAATATAGGGAGATTTCAACTATTTTAGGCAAGTCTGACACATGTCACGTCTCACTTAAATTAAAACTAAAAAAATCATAGTACTAGTTATATTTTTTTTATTCGTTATAGAATTAGCATCTTAATCAAATATTAAAGTTGGTGGATTTTGTAGCCATGATTAGTTAGTGTAATTTTTAATTTAATTTTCCTTGGATTCAAGCCTGATTATATTTTTGTTTTGAGCTCATTACATAGGATTTTCCCTAGGCAAAAATTATTTCAATAAGCAATGTAGTATCGTCATCATCATCAGCCTTATGTCAACTATGAGGAAAACTGAGTTGGCTTTCAATAAGCAATTAATATATTAGTGGATTCTAGTTTAACTTATCAACTTCGTTTTCTTTCATAATCATCAAACTTGAAAGGAATAATAATCATAGAATTGTTGATGGTGTGTCACATACCAATTTTAGTGAGCAATATGTGAATTATTGATTTTGCTTGTATTAGTCTTTTAGATGCAACATATGGGGTATCATTCTGTTATATATCAATTTTCTTTTGTCACTTGTCTTTCTTTCAAACAATTGTTTTGAGAAGGCAAAAAGATATCACTCGTGCTACATTTCAAAGGCTTTAGAGTCTTAATCATTTAATAACTAATGAAAAATAGAATGGATTTGATCGATAGTGGATATATATTGGTTTTATTTTGCACACGCGTTCACATATTGTAAAATGATCAAATCACTCTGTGCTGGCAACTCCAAAGCCTTTTGTTAGAATGAATTCCTCTTTAGTAGCTTGATCAAATGATTTGTTTCATGCATTTAATGTATTTCAGAAATAGCCAGATATGACGAAATTAGATGGAATGCACTTGACATTTAATTCACCATTCTGAAATAACCAGATTTACTTGATCTGCAATTTTTCCCTTTGTACTTTTTAGCCTTATGTTTAGATAATTATTTTGGTTATTCAATTCAGATGTGGGCTCCATTTCTTCTCAGCCATGGCTCCTTTTCCTCTTCCCTTGAAACAAATATAGTTCATATTAGTGTGCGCAATTGTGGTAGTTTTGCGTGCACCCCATCTTCTCTTGCATGATATAGCTTTTTCAGAGGGATGCTTCCATTAAAATGAAATTTGGCTGATCCATTGATTTATTTATTTTTGTAGGAAGAAATTGTGTTGCTGACTTTTTGATTTTTCAGATAAATAGGAAAGTTTCTAGATTTTTAATTATGATGGCATTTTTTGTGTTCTGCAGATCGTCAGGAAGGATGGCGTAGTGGCTTTGAAAGAGATTTTTCAGAGTGGTGCAAAATGTGCATTTGAAGTTGGTTCTCAAATTATGACATGCCCAATCATAGTTGAGGATCTTAATCCACCTCGTGAAATGCTTGTGGAGGTAAAACTTTTGGACAGTGAAAATTAGTCTACGATTGCATTTATTGGCATTTGGTAAATTCCTTTCTCTTAATTGTGATTGGATAACAATATCTGGTTGTCTGATAGTTCTCATCAATTTCTCCAGATGCTTTGTGAGGAACGTGGCCTCTTCTTGGAGATAGCTGATCTGATCAGAGGAATAGGACTGACCATCCTGAAGGGAGTAATGGAAGCTCGTAGAGACAATATATGGGCGCGTTTTGCAGTGGAGGTATACGTCCTCGCTTAATCTATCAAAATGATATAATCTAAAATAAGAATTTATTGCGATTATCAATCATTTTTTACGATAATTTAAAAAAAAAAAAAATCATACTCGCTATTAACAATTGGTTGGAAGATTGGCATATCTAACACTTGTCTTGACTTGCCTATGCATTGCATCATGTTAATTAGTTTTGCTTTGCCGCACACTAACCCATTATGCCACTATTTTTTGCGTTCTTTGCCAAGTGGCAAGGTACCCTCCATTCTGGCCTACATTATTTTGGAACAAATTTTAAAAAGGAGCTTTGTTAATATTTAAATTTTAAGGAGCATAATCTTAAAATTATTTAGAAAGGAGCAAACTTATTAAATGGTTTGGTGCATTCGATAGAATGCACCAAACCATTTGGTGCATTTTGAAAACGCCAAATGGTTTGGTGCATTATATAGAATGCACCAAACCCTTTGGTGCATTCTATTCTATAGAATGCACCAAATGTTTTGGTTTATTCTAAACAAAGCAAAATTTTAATCAAAATATTATTAGCATAGTAATTAGTTGATTAATCATGCATAATAAAAGCGCCACATATAATATGAAACTAATTATATTAAAATAATAAATTATTTGTAATAAAAATTTTCTAAATTAATTAACACTTACTAATTATACAATTTTAAATTGTTTTATTTTCATTTTCTTAAAAATTTTGAAACCCTAAATTTATAATATTTCAGAAATAAAAAAATAAAATAAATAAGCAATTTTACAATTTATGTCAAAATATAAGTTTAAAACTCTTATATCTAATTAAATTACTATTTTATGTAAAATTTATAAATATCTCAAAATAAAAAGAAGACAGTTATGACTTTTTTATTGTAAAAAAAAAAATTCACCACATTTATAAATTTATAAGGTATATGATTTTTTTTAAACAAATTTTTATGGATGATTTTGCTTGTATTTAGAATGTTTTTATTATGCATGAGTAATCAACTAATTACTATGCTAGTAATATTTTGATTAAAATTTTGCTCTGTTTAGAATACACCAAAACATTTGGTGCATTTTATAGAATGCACCAAATCATTTGGCGTTTTCAGAATGCACCAAATGGTTTAGTGTATTCTACATAATGCACCAAATTATTTAGTAAGTTTTCTCCTTTCTAAATAATTTTAAGATTATACTCCTTAAAATTTAAATATTAACAAAGCTCCTTTCTAAAATTTGTTCCATTATTCTGCCCGATGCCCACCTGTTCCTACTACCTACTTGATACTTGGCGGGTGATTTTTATTAACCAAAATTTAATCATTGGGTTATATTTCTTGTTAGGCTCTTCTTTAATTTTGTGGTGGAGTAAGAAGTTTGTTGATTTGGATTTATTTTCAAATTGAATAAGCTTTTATTTGGAAAGTTTTTAATGACTCATTTTTGTAATTGATTATGGAATAGATTATTTCCCTAATTAAGTTGATTTGATTGGAGATTTGATTGATTGATGCATTAATTAGAGGGATCTAATTATTGCATTAAGTAGGGATTTGATTGATGGATTAATTAAGAGATTTAATTATTACATTAATTAGGGATTTGATTAGGAAGTTTTTTCCTAATTTACATTGGCTCAAATCTATAAATAGAGCCTTGGTGGGGGCTGCTGTTGAATGTATGAGAGTAGGTCTGCCAGCGAACCAAACGTCCGACGAGCTACTCATTGCTCGGTTCGATTAAAGCTCGTTTGTGATCGTTTAATTAAATAAACAAACAAACTTGAACAATATTTTAAATACTCGATCCTTACATAAACAAGCTTGAACACTAATGTGTTCAACTCTTTTATGTTCATGAACAATATCATTTGAAGCTCGACATTAAGCTCGATAAAAGCTTAATTCATGAACAAATTGTTCATGAGCAAATATAAGATGAATAATATATCGTTTGTTTGTAAACGAGCTCATTTTATAGCTCAAAAACACAAGTTATATATATTCATGAACTTGCTCATTTGATATCTCAAGAACACTCATTAGATATGTTCATGAATGTGCTTGTTTGATAGTTTAAAAAAATTCGCTTAATATGCTCACGAACATAGCTCGTTAAAGCTTATTTGTTTGAATATCGATAAACACTAAACGAATAGAACATGAACCAAACATGAACATCCATTAATTTAAACGAATCAAACATGAACAGTAATAATAAAGCTCGAATAAAACACGAGCCAAACTTAAACAAGCTGATAATAAATAAACTCAAACATGAACACTCACATACTCGGGTCAGCTCGGTTCGTTTGCAGCCCTATATGAGAGAAGAGAAAGCTTGAGAGCTTTTGTAATTCCATGTTATTCTCTAATATAGTGAAATCATCATCCCCTCCTCGCGGACGTAGGCATCTTCGCCGAACCACGTAAATCGTCGTGTTTTTTGTGTTGTTTTGCTATGTGATTTTGTTTCCGCTACGAGTGTTTGCACAATTATTGGTATCAGAGCTGGATTTTGGTGGGATTTCTGGCGGCGGCTTGGAGAGTTTAATAAAGGTTCTATTTGTCCGTTTGGAATGAAGGTTCTGTTCGTTCATTGTTGGGAGCATAAATGAGCCGGATTGATACAATTTCGGCGACGCGAGACAACTGCAATTTGGTGGAGGCTTTGTGATCCGGTGGAGCCATGGATACATCCACCTCAATGGTGGAGAAGGTGTCAATCCATTAGGTGGTTACATATCCCATCAAAATTGATGTCACAAACTTTGATGGCAAAGGGAATTTTGGTATGTGGTGATGTGAGGTGATAGATGCATTGTGCTTTTTAAATTTGGAGGAAGTTATAGAGAGAGGTGAATGTCCCGAGGAGATTTTAGAGAGAGATTGGCTCAAGATGAACAAGAGTGCTTGTAGCTTGATCAAAAATTGTCTGTCTTAAAAGATCAAGTATTATATAATAATGGAGACTTCTGTTGTGATGCTGTGGAAGGCTTAGGAGAACAAGTTTCTTACGAAGAGCGTGGAAAATTGTTTTCATATGAAGCAGTGACTCTATAAGTTTTAGATGAGGCATGTGAGTACAAATGATGAACATTTAAATTACTTAACAAAGCTATTGACAGATTTTTTGAATCTGGATGAAGATGTTGGGGATGAAGGCAAGGCGCTCATTCTGCTGAGTTCGCTCTTGGATGAGTATGAAAACATCATGATGACGCTCATTTATGGAAAGGAGGTCTTGAACTATGTTGAGGTGACTATTGCATTGCTGAATCATGAGTTCTGACGTCGGGACAAGGAGTCTTCAAAGATGAATTTAGCTGAGGCTCTCATACTCCAACCAGAAATATTTGAGAAACAGAAGAATAAAAGGGGCGGCAGCAGCAAGTGGGGCAAGTCTAATGGACGCAATCTTGAGAAGAATCAGTGTGCTTTCTACTTGGAGACTTGTTATTGAAAGAAAGATTGACCAAAATTGAAGAAGGAAAATGGAGTTTCCACGGAGGCAAATTTTAGTGTGGAAGAGTGTGATGAAGATTCAGATATATCACTATTTATAGTCTCTCAGAGTTTGTATTTAGATGATTCATGATGGATTCTTGATACTGGTGTTACCTATCACATTTGTCCTATTATAGAGTGACTATGTACCTACAAGAAAGTTGATAGTGGTGTTGTGAACATGGAAAATGATCAGGCTTGTTGTACAGTTGGTGTAGGGAGCATCTTCATCAGAATGCATCATGGTACTATGAGAGAGCTGATTGATGTGAGACATGTTCCAGATATCATGAAGAATTTGTTGTCTGTTTGGGCTTTTAGAGACCAAGGGCTACAGCAGAGGTTAACGAGGAAATTGGCAGCCGAGAGTGGTTTTCTGCTCCCTGATTTTTCAGTTTTCTCCTGAACAAGAAGATTGATTTCCGACTCTCTGCGTGGACAAGACCTTCCGTCTCCGACAACAAGGTGAATTCCTACGTGCTTGCTTTCACGAACAAAGTCCGATCTCTTACCTGCTTCGATTTCTGGCATGAAATTAATCGAAATCTCACCGGAAAACGGACCGCAGTCACTAGTCGCCGGCCTCCCACCTGAGCCAACGCCGCCGGCAAAACCGACGCCCCCGCCGCCCCTGCTAGAACTCGCAAGTCGTGCGTGGCCTCTGATCCTTACCCGATCGGGCTTCATCTCCCTTCCTCTATCTGTTATGTATAAAACTTATATTAATATATTATAATATATATAATATTATATTATATATGTTATATATATTATATCTTATATAAAGAAGCGAGAGAAATGAGAGGATTTTAAAATAGGAACTTGCAACAAATCTCCGGCAACCGATCATCGCCAATCAAAGCTTCTAAAGATCAAATCTCCTCTCCGTTGATTCGCTCCGGTCGAGTCGAGAACTCTCTTACCTCCCGGCGCCGGGGAGGGGACGCCGGGAGGCTGCCGAAATTTCTTCAAAATTTCGGGACTTAGCCAAATTTTCTACAAGCAATCGACATCCAATTATCTGCAACAAATCATTGTCAAGTAGAGCTTTTGAAGACTCAATCTCCTCGCCGTTGATTTGCTCCGCTCGAGTCGAGCACTCCCTTGCCTCCCGGCGTCGGGGAGGGGACGCCAGAAGGCTGCCGAAATTTACTCAAAATCTTTGGACTTAGATGAATTTTGAAAAACACGAATTTAATTTGAAATCAAGTAACTAATAATTCACTAATTAAATCATCTTAACTAAGATCCAAATATACATATTCCACCATAGTCTATATTGATATTTATTCAATCAAATATGATCTCATAGCAAATTCCATCGAATATGGATTTGAGAGTCCAGTAATGACTTGTGGTGGCTATGGAGGACCTTCATATAATTACAATGCAAATATAACTTGTGGAAATTTATTACAATGCAAATATAACTTGTGGAAATTTGAACTATCAAGTTTACAGTGAGAACTTGAAATACATAAGCTGGGATGGAGTTCATTACTTTAATGCAGCCAATACAATTGTGTCTTCCAAGATATTGTCTAATAAATACTCAAATCCAAAAGTTAAATTTGATTATTTTTGTAGCTCTTAAAATATTTATTTATTGACTTTTTTTTTTCATTAATAGAATTGATATGTCACCAAAAAATAGTCTCATTCAGCATAAATTTCCAAGCATATTCAGGCTGAAATCTTTTAGAATTAAATTTGGGATCATTCGAACTCCGATTTCAACAAACTTATAGTTGAACTAAACGTCTCGAAAAGACGAACCCAATGACACCAGAATCAATCAAATCCAAGCCCAAATACATCCAATTTGAGAAACCCGAAGCGCATTTGGAAGGTTCAAACAATAATTTGGATTACCAAAAGGTTTCCAAACGTGACATGTTTATAGTTGAATCGAGTGGCTCGACGAGACGAATCCAACGACATCAAATTCAACCCGATCCGAGCTCAAACTAGATCCAAATCAAGGCCTCAAAGCGCATTTTGAAGGTTCAAACCATAATTTTGGTTACCAAATGGTTTCCAATCGTGGCAAGCTTATAGTGACCACCCCTTTAATTGAATTTTTTTATGTTTAATTATTTTGCTCCAAATTTGTCAAAATCATGTCCTGCTTTTGTCTTGACATTAATTTAGGCATTTTATCGAGTTGAAATTTATTAAATTCCAACAGAAAACATCACGATGACGCTCATTTATGGAAAGGAGGTCTTGAACTATGTTGAGGTGACTATTGCATTGCTGAATCACGAGTTCTGACGTCGGGACAAGGAGTCTTCAAAGATGAATTTAGCTGAGGCTCTCATACTCCAACAAGAAATATTTGAGAAACAGAAGAATAAAAGGGGCGGCAACAGCAAGTGGGGCAAGTCTAATGGACGCAATCTTGAGAAGAATCAGTGTGCTTTCTACTTGGAGACTTGTTATTGGAAGAAAGATTGACCAAAATTGAAGAAGGAAAATGGAGTTTCCACGGAGGCAAATTTTAGTGCGGAAGAGTGTGATGAAGATTCAGATATATCACTATTTATAGTCTTTCAGAGTTTGTATTTAGATGATTCATGATGGATTCTTGATACTGGTGTTACCTATCACATTTGTCCTACTATAGAGTGACTCTGTACCTACAAGAAAGTTGATAGTGGTGTTGTGAACATGAAAAATGATCAGGCTTGTTGTACAGTTGGTGTAGGGAGCATCTTCATCAGAATGCATCATGGTACTGTGAGAGAGCTGACTGATGTGAGACATGTTCCAGATATCATGAAGAATTTGTTGTCTGTTTGGGCTTTTAGAGACCAAGGGTTACAAGATAGTCATTGAGACAGTTCTGAAGATATATCATGAAGCACTGGTTTATTTGAAAGGAGTTCGTCACCATAACATTTACTACTTTTAGGGAAGAACAATGATTGGATCGGTTGTTGTTGCTGATGATTTATGATGCCAATGTATTATGGCATATGCAACTAGCTCATGCCGGATGGGCTTCTCTTATAGCTTTGTGAAGCAAAGATTGATTAAAGGAGCAAGCAACTGTAAGCTCAATTTTTGTGAACGTTGTGTGTTTGGTAAGAAGACACATTTATCCTTTGATACTACCATCCATAGTACAAAGGGTATCTTGGAATATGTTCACACAAATGCTTGGGGCATGACAAAGATAATATCATTCGGCGGGCGGCGATATTTTGCCTTTTGTTGATGATTACTCCATATATATTTGGGTGTACATCATGAGGCGCAAGAGCAAGGTATTGGTTATTTTCAAAACTTGGAAGAAGTGGATTGAGACTCAGGCTGACAAAAGAATTCGGTGTATCAGATTAGACAATGGAGGTGAATACACTTTGGATGAATTCTTGCAGGAGTGCCAGAGATTTGGATTGAGCACAACTTCACTATTAGAGAGCACCGCAACAAAATAGGGTGTCAAAGAGGATGAACCAGACTTTCGTGGACAAAGTTTGGTGTATCTTATGCAATGTTTGGTTGGATAGAGTCTATTGAGCTGAAGCAATAGACTATGCCTGTCACTTGATGAACCATCTGCCTTCTGCAGTTATTGGGAAGAAGACCTCAAAGGAGATGTGGTCGGGACATCCTGATAGAGATTATGAGCACTTGGGAGTGTTTGAGTGTCTAGCTTAGTATCATGTTCTAAACAATAAACTGGAACAAAGGGTAAAGAAAGCAATCTTTTTTGGCTTCAGGCGTGAAGTTAAGGGTTTTAAACTCTATGATTCGGTAGAGAAGAAGATTGTTATTAGCAGGGGTGCTACTTTCAATGAGGCAAGCATGTTGAAGCTTCAGGACTTTGTGTAGATGGATAGTTTCAATAGGACCACAAATACATTGCAGAAACTGGAGTTTGATGCAACTCCATTTGTTCCACATAAGTCAATCATTTCTATTCAGGTGCCTGATTTAGCTGCAGATCAGGAGGTAAAAGATGATGATGATGATGTGATTCCTGCTCAGGGATCTATTGCAAGGAATAGGGCCGGGCGTCAGAATGTCCCAAAACCAACTTGGTTGAGGGAGCACATTGCATTTGCACTTTTAGCCATGGAGGTTGAAGTTCCTACTCCCTATAAGGAAGTGATGGACAGTCTTGATTGTGATTTATGGAAGAGGGCTATTTGGTGCAAATGGATACATGCGAAGAATGATCTCATGGAGCTGATGTGCAGTACAATGCTAGGTTGGCGGCAAAAGGCTCTGCGCAACAGGAAGGGATTGCTTATGATGAGATGTTTACCCTAGTGGTTAAGAATCCCTCGACCCATGGTTACTTGACACTTGTAGCACAATATGGTCTGATTTTGGAGCTGCTCGATCCAGATATTGCACAAGTAGTTGCAGTTGTGACCAGGTTCATATATGATCCAAGGAGTTATTAGCAAGCTGTGAAGAGTGTCCTGAGGTATCATTTGATACAGACTTGGAGATGTAGTCACCATGACAGTGGTGCATGACTCGTGACTGATTGTCCACTTATTTGAAGAACTATTCTCAGCTTGATCTCTTGGGATCACGTAGGCAACCCTCTAGGTGCAGTCGTTCTGATATTAGAGCCTGATTTGTCATATTCCATTTATTGAAATGAAAGATGAGGTGGAGATTATTGATTTTGAATTATTTCCAAATTAAAATAAGTTCTTATTTGGAAATCTTTTAATGACTCATTATTGTAATTAATTAGGGAATATATTATTTTTCTAATTTAGTTGATTTGAATGTAGATTTGATTTGAGATTTGATTGATGTATTAATGAGGGGATCTAATTATTACATTAATTAGGAATTTGATTGGAGATTTGATTGATGTATTAATTAGGAGATCTAATTATTGCATTAATTACATATTTTATTTTGATTTGATTAGGATTAGATTAAGAAGTTTATTTCCTAATTTATTTTGGCTCAAATTTATAAATAGAGCTCTGGGAGATGTTGTTGAATGTATGAGAGAAGAGAAAGCTTGAGAGCTATTGTAATTCCCTATTATTCTCAAATATAGTGAAATCATTATCCCCTTCCTATAAACGTAAGCATCTTTACCAAACCATGTTTTTTGTGTTGCTTTGTTGTGTGATTTTGTTTCCACTACGATTGTTTGCACAACAAAGTCAACGTTTGCTTTTCTCTATGTCAAAGCTAAGAAAACACATTTATTGATGTAGTGGGCCAGTTACTCAATTTATTTATTTATTATTATTATTATTATTATTTTTCCCTAGGGGGGTGGGGGGGTTAACTTTTGAGTTTATTAAAGGCAAACTCATACTCGCACCACATACACAAGCTTTAAACCCAAGACATTTTTGGTTGGTAGCCAAAGATCATAATCAACAGATCAAGATGAGTTGAGTCTAACTCAGATGGCTACTCTCAAATTTTGGCATAAGATCATAAATACCCCTTCTTTGTTTAATTGACAATGAAAACATGATCATAGTTACTGTTTACCGCTTACATTCTAAGTGTGTCATTCTACCATTCCTCTTTTGTCTATTGTTTCTCAAAAGCAATCAACTAATATCTTCCCCAATCCCATATCTCATGATGATTTAAAGAACTATATATTAGATTCAAGTGAACATCTTATGCTTTTCCTTGAATTTGCATGGAGTTTTCATATTTAAATATTGATAAGAATTATCATTATTCATTGCAAAATATTATCTCATTATTGGGGATATTTTTTTATTGTTCTATTCATATGCCTATATATGCTTTATACAAAACAGACAACAAATCTCTCTTTCTCTCTCTCTCTCACCTTCCCATAGTTGAACAATAAAAAATTATCTTTTTTTTTTATAGGCAAACAGGGATGTGACAAGGATGGAGATATTTTGTTCTCTTGTTCATCTGCTTGAACCAACTACTGCACATTCTATGCATAACAGCAAAATGTCCCAAAAAAGATTCAACCTGCCTTGTGTTCCTGCAACCGGCGCATCTGATCCTCTTCAGTAAGGAGTTTACTTAATTGTACCTCTTCAAGCTCTGGAAATGCTGAGAGCAGGTATGTCATCAGCTGCCATGACTAGCATTCCAGTGGCTTTCTTATGCAATTTGACTTGTTATGAAGATCATTAGTGGCTTGAGTATACTGCAGTAGATGGCTAGTGCTTTCATTTGAGGTTTTATTTTCTCATCTTTTATCTCTAATTTTGTCTTCCTTGGTTTTTTGCTGTATAAAAATTTGCCTTTGCCCTCCCACTTTTTGTTTTTTTTTTCAAATTTAGTGGCCATGAGATGACAATTGGTATAAAAGAAGCTGAATGTGGTGACTTGTTGCACAAATATAAATGTGAAGGATATTCAAAATATAAATGTGAAGGGGAATGAGGTGGGATTCAGAGAGAGAGAGAGAGGACTGCAGTGTTTGAAGATCCAAAGAACGGAAGCATCTCTTGAGCAGAATGGTCATATGCAGGAGAAATTATTACGTGCGGAGTCCGAATGTATCTGAACTGCAGTGTTTGAAGATTCAAAGAACAGAATAGTCTCTCGAGTAGATTGGTCATAAGCGGGAGAAATTAATACATGCGGACTCCGAATGCATTTGGACTCTAATAAAATATAGTCACATGATTCATATACAAGTCACATGATTCTATTCCATTGGAGTCCGGATGCAAGCTATGTTCAAATACCACATGTAATAATTTCTCTATAAGAGGGCAGGGTTTCCATGACTTTTTCTTTTGATATAAATCTGATTATTGGTAATTGCTATGATCTGTTTAGGCTCTTATATCTGTTTGAAGTTTTATTTTTGGATCAAAGTACTGTTAGACAATTTTACCGCGATAGAGTATGTGTTTTATCAAAGCTTGCATAAATAAAAAAATTATAGGGGTTGCCTCAGTTGCAATAATCTGTTATTTATCAAAGCATACAATTAACTTATTTGAGAATAAGTTTTCAATTCTCGTTGAAAGAATTATAGAAAATGAGTATGCACAAGCAGACATAAAAGCTCAATAACATAGAATTGGATGATAATAGTCAAGTAACCGTAATCGAATGACTAAAATCTGGTGATTTTTGTGGCAATTATTAATGGTGGTCGTTGACAATGATTATTGAAAAATATAAGTTATTTAGCGCACTAAGCTCTCAAATCTCCTCTCCTATATAGAAAATAAGGTCATATTTATAGATTTTTTTGGATGGACAATTTTAATAAGTTTAGTCCTAATCCAAAACACTCATTTGAAAGGTCTATATTGATCCTTTGTATTATAAATTGTTTATATGACATTTGAGTTCCTTAATGATGTGAGAATATAATGATCTTTGGCTTGTTGAGTATTCTCAATAATGAGGTCATATTTATAGATTCTTAGAACACTTATCATAATAAATACTTTTTACATTAATGAAACCATGGTCTTAAAACACAAGAATGAATTATTTATAATTGCATTGACCCTCGCCCGATCTCATCAAGATTTTGGACAATTATTCTAAATAATGTTTTCATATTTTAATAATTTCTTTTATCCATTATTTATGCATTTTTCTTCACAATTGAGTTTGAATATATTTGAGTAAATTTATATTTTATATACTTCAAAGTCCCCCTTATTGCCCCACACCCTATTATTTAGCTATTTTATGTCATAGTTTCTTAGCATTTTTTGTTAGTGAGGTTTTATGTAGAAATTTAAAATAAGTGTTTGTTTTTATTTCTTTTAACTTTTATTAAAAATAAAAGCATATTTCTACAAAAACATATTACTTTTTAAACGGAAAGAAATAAAAATGAAGCCATCAAGAAAGCCTACCCGCTCCGGCTCTTGCCAAGTCCACTAACTGTAAGGCAAAATGCCAAACAGATTTCTTCACGGGCCGTTTGGACACTGTAGCATGGGCCTCATTGTCGGGCCCAAATTAGTTGTAGGTAATCTCCATTTAAAAAAAAAAATTAATGAGGGATCATAAAGGATATTTATTAGATCAGTTGGTTAAGAGTTTTGGCTATCAATTAAGTGGTATTGAATTTAAATTTTACATATATATTGTATGAGTGAATTTGTCTTAATTGACCTAAATGTAAAAAAAAAAAAAAAAAGATTTTATCGTTGAGGCAAAATCATAGTAAAACTGAACGTTTAGATGAGACGAACATATTGACGGTACCAATGATATGATCCTAAAATTATATTTGGAAGCATATGAAAATAAATTGATAGACAAATGAGCTCTAAATTTAATATGTTCCAAATCAAGCGGCTCCATAAAGAGATATTAATGTGTAGAATTCAGATGTATCTCAATGTCTGAAATCCAATAAGATTGCACCAGACTTCTATAAACAACAATGCGTACAACTTATATATATATTATATAAGTTGTACACACTGTTGTATATAGGCGGTATTATACAATCTCATTGGAGCATGGACAAATCCAAAGTTCACATGTAATAATTTCTCCTCAACAAAATATTTATTTGGGTTTATTTTATTATTATTGAGAAATATTGAGAAAATGTCGGAGCCTATTTTTAATTCCAAATTGGCTTTCTCCCACTTTGACCGAAACTACAACCGCGTTCCCATTTCCCTCACTTTCCTTTCTATTTCCAAGCTCAAATACCTCGATTTCTCTCCACTGAAGCGAGGACTATGGATTCCGGTCAATCGCCGCCGCAAAGGCCGCCGTCGCAGCTCCACCTATCTCCCCGGCGAGAGCTCCAGCTCCAAGGTCCCCGACCTTCTCCTCTCCGGGTAAGCAAGGAATCTCACAAGATTAGGAAGCCGCCAGTGCCTCCGCAGCCGGCGCAGCCGGCCGCTGCCGCGATTGCTCCGTCGCTGGAGTCGCGAGAGCCCGTCATCATCTACACCATCTCCCCTAAGGTCATCCACGTTGAAGCCTCCAACTTCATGGACCTTGTTCAGCGTCTCACTGGCCCAGGCAACGCCGACCCAGACACCCCGCATGCGGAAAGCGCCGCCGGTCTCCTCTCTCCTGCCGCCAAACTTGCCTCGATCAATAGGACGATCCAGAGCCCGGGAGCCGATAGGCCCATGGCTTCTTCCTCCGCCGCCGGCGTCGATGTTCTCGATGACTTCGACATGGACTGCGGATCGCAGCTGGACCGATCGTTTTCCATCCCGGGTATCTTATCGCCGCTTCCGGCTTCTCTTCCGCCGATCTCCCCCGCCTTCTTCTCGCCTTCCTACCTCGATTCCAGCTTCCAGAACTTCTTGCACGACCTCAGCCCAGCTGCTCTCCAAGCCGGCAGGCCTTCTCCAGGCAGCGCTATCGTTGGCGCCGCCGGCGGGACCTTCTGGAACACTCCCGACAACTTCTTCTCACCTTCTATTGTCCCCTCTCCTGGAGCCGCAGCTTGGGATCTGTTCAACCAATTTCAAGATTTCTAGAATCTGGGAAGAAAAAGAACAGGAATTTCATGAACAAGGAAATTACAATTTTTCTTCTTCCGTAGGTGGCTACAATCTCCATTTATTGCTGTATAATTGTGTTTATTCATTTTTTTTCAAAATTTTTTGTATGATTCTTCTTGGGATTCACACCTGCAATTATAGCAAAAGCAATTCATCAATCTTCTGGTTGAAAACTAAATGATGGAAGGAGGAAATCTATATTTCAGTTGGATTTGCCATTAGAGGAGGAAATCTTTATAGGAAAAGAGGTTTTTTTGACTTGCTACCAACATGAGGAGGGGGTTAAATCTGCAAATTTGGTATCCTTTGATTTTTTGATGATTGATTGTTCTTTTTGAGAAAGATTGGGCCCTCAATCTTTTTTCAATTGGATAGCTGCTCATCTGTTACAAATAATTGTTTGCTCCATTTACATCAGCCAAGGTTTCCATAAGCTCTTCTAAAAGTGATTAAGCTGCAGCTACAGCTTTTTACAGAACTAGTTTGCTTCTAGAAGCAATAAGAAAGCCGTCCCAAACGAACACTAAGAGTGATTAAGGGCATCTTCAACCGAAAGTCCCATTTTTTACTCCAAAAACTGTTGAAACTTAAAAATGCCATGAATCATCTTTAATCGAACACCATTTTGCGCGCTTCTACGAAAGTAACCGTCTTTCTCCTGTTTCGTGCGTTTCTTTGGCATATCTGATTGAGATAGAAATATCGTGCAGGTGAACAGTGCGATGTCATTATTGACATCATATTGTTCACCTGCAATTAAATATCAGGAAAAATGCCGATTGGATTGAGCGATGGAAGAACACCATACATTTATACAAATGTATGACGTTCGGTTGGAGATGCCCTAAGCGGTAGCTACAACTTTCTGTAGAACTATTGCAAAATTATAATACAACAATAGTAAGCCTTTATGCTACTATGTGGAGTCAGCTATATGAATCTTTTTTTTTCTATTATGTTTAATTAATAGTCAAATTCTAATAAATTTAATAATATTTTGATTTTTTTAAAGAAAGAGCATGGTGATTAATTTAAATTAGGAATAAGAGTAGAGTATTCAAAAAATTTAAAAATAAGCAAACTACTTAAACATATTGGTGCATTCTAAAAAATGTATCAAATTAATTGGTGCATTCACTAAATTATAAAAGTATTGTAGCAATGCACCAAATAGTTTGACTTATTTTAAATACACCAAACAATTTTCTGTTTTCAATGGAATGCGTCGTTCTGTTTGGCTAGTTTGCTTCTTTTTAATTTTTTTAATACTATGTTGGTATTCCTAATTTAAACTAAACACTATGCTCTTTAAAAAAAATCTCATTTCTAATACTTTCTAACCAAGTCTTTTTAGGTCTACCTCAACTTTTTTTAATATAGTCAAATCTAATACATCTACTCTACTAATCTGATCATTCAAAATCAACCTTTTTTAATAATAATAATAATTGATATATCATCAAAAAAATTTCTTGATCAGGCACGAATCTCGAGGCAAAATCAAGCCGGAAACTTCAAAAATTAAATATGGAATCATCTGAACTCAGATCTCAGCAAACTTTTAGTCGAACTGAGCGTCTCGGAAATGCGAACCCAACGGCACCAAATTTGACTCAATCCGAGCCCAAATGAGTCCAAATCAAGGACCCGAAGAGCTGTTGGAAAGTTCGAACCACAATTTGAGTTACCAAACGATTTCCAAACATAACGAGCTTATAGTCGAATCGAGCGGCTCAACGAGATGAATCCAACAAGCCCAAGATTGCCGAATTTTAATATCATTAAGACCTTCAAATGTCTGGCGAACAGTGCACGATCATGGGATTTAATATCGCCCGTCCATCCAACCACTCCCCATTTTCCCCTGATCTCTCACTTATTTATGGGTTATGACACTCCAGAAATTTATAAATAGACCTCTCATTTCTCCTGAAAGGGGAGCCAAGCAAGAAGAAGAAGAAGAGAAGAGTAGGGGGAAAAGAAACTCCTCGTTGACCACCGTCGTGATTCTGCCCAACTTTCACGGGACACCGGAATTCCACCCGACCTCCTAGTAACGCTGGAATTCTGCTCGACCTCCAAGTGACGCCGGAGTTTCACTCGAAGTCCAAATGATGCCGGAGTTATGTCCAACCTCCAAGAGATGTCGGAATTTCGCTAGACCTCCAAGTGACGCTGGAGTTTCACCCGAACTCCAAGTGACGCCGGAGTTCTCCTCAGCTTCCAACTAGCGTTGGACTTCTGCACGATGTCGTACCTCTGCTTGTCGCCAAGTTTCTACCCGACGAGGGACTTCTATTGGTTGTCGGACTTTCGCTGAACATCTATCTAATGCTAGATTTCTTTCTATTGTTAGACTTCAACCTGACGCCGTCCTTTTGACCTTCGTCGTCAGACAACAATCCTTCCGACCTCCGTCGCTTGCCGACTATGGTCCTTCTGATTTACGTCGCTCACCAACTACAGTCCTTCCAACCTCCATCGCTCGCCGACTGCGGTCCTTCTGACTTACGTCGCCCATCGACTACAATCATTCTGACCTCTGTCGCCCGCCGATTACGGTCCTTCCGACTTACATCGCCCACCGACTACTGCTCTTCAAACTTACATTGCTTATCAACTATGGTCATTCTGATCAAACGAATATATCAGTAGTGATTCTTTGTATTCACATCATGTAATGTACTCTATAAGCTGTACATCAAGCTAAGGCATTCCCCACATGAAGGGCCTCATTTGTAGTCAACTACAATACTAGTGGATTCATTTAAAATGTGCTAGGCCCCTGGATTTTCTCCCTTTTTCAGGGGTTTTTCACGTAAAAATATTGATGTCTCTAGTGAATGCTACACCCTCTCTCTTATCTGATTGCGTGCCAGATTTTTGTACAAAGTTAAGACGTTAAACATTATATTTCTCTACTGTCGCGAATACACCAAGATGCAACAATAATAATAATAATATTTAATTTAAATATTTGAATGTTTGATAGATATAAATATTTAGATATTAGATGTATAAATTTAAATACACTTTCCTTTTTTTTTTTTTTTGAATATTCTAGATATTAATATATAGATTTTTTCTGAGTAAAACAAAAAAAAAAAAAAAACTAAACTTTGGTTAGTAGTACCATGACGTAGTTCGTTCTGATTAGTCTCCAGACAGTTCGGTATCTGCACAATAATTTCTCCAAATGGACCCTATGTTGATGATGGGTACATCTCTTTTTAGTAGTGTTATACTCTCGAAATAATATTTCAATAAAATTCCAATTTAATTAGGATTTGTGTCCCAACTTCTCGAATTTAGGTGATTTATACATAAAGGATGTTTGATTTGTTGAAAATGTAAATGTAATTTCTTTCAAATATTTAAAGTTGCTTGAATGAGCGTAAAAAAAATGTAAGTGATTTTTTTTTTGTTTGAAGTAAAAAAAAATGTAATGTAAAGTCAAATGATGATGATGATTGTCGACAGTGGCAATCAGTGATTACAACGATGGATGGCTGTGACACGCAGAGATGGCGGTAAAGGCCAAAAGGTAGCCATAGGCAGCAACTGAAGCCAGCTTGCCGTAAACACTAAATTCGTCCAAAATTGGTTGGGTTTACAATAAATAAAAAATGAACCGGGGAGCGAAGAAGGAATTGGTTAAAGTATTCTTTTTTCATCAAATCAAATATCAAAAATTTAAAATGTCTTATATTTGAAATACTTAGCATTCCTTTTTCAACAAACCAGGCAGCTTCTTAGGGTTTTTACTTATTTAAAGCCCTTAATAAAAAACTTTTTTTATGATAGATTTTTTATTAGGAAAGCAAGAAACTTAGGCTTCGTTTGGGATAACTTTAGTATTGATTTATAAAACCGCCTTTTAGTACAAAAATTATATGAAAAGGAAAAAAAAATGTATTAAAAAATGTTTTTAAAAAGCAATAAAAAAATTATCCCAAACAAAACTTTAGATTTTCACTTTTTTAGTATGATAAAAGTTTAATTTGATGCAAAGAAAAATGGCGAAAATTCAAAGTCATTTGCATATTTATTAGCTTATTACTATGCTCTTTTAGAAAGTTAGGCCAATGTAATTTTGTCATAGGTTAATAAAGCATGAAAAGACCCTCTATCGTTGAAAGAAAATGAAAGGATAAGGACATCCCAAAAGGCAACTTCACCATCGCTCCATGAAAAATGTCTGATATTTGAAATTTCTCCTACTGATAAAAAAATATAACTATGTTTCTATTTGTTTAATTTTTTAACTTATTGTATATCCGAATATACCAATGGCTTTTCTCAATCAAACGCAATCTGTCTTAAGGCGACGAAGGTTAAATGTGCACCCACCAAAGGTCAAAGATCAGAAAAATTATTACGTGTGGTATTCAGACACGTACGGAGGCCAATCTAAATGTGCCATATCACTCAATACACAGTATATTGGGTGACGTGACACATCTGAATTGGCCTCTAGAGGTGTCCAGAGTCCAAACGTAATAATCTCTTCAAGATTCAAGTTAGTGAAAAATGATCAAGTTAAAACATACATTTTTTATACGAAATAGACTCATCAATGATGAATAGTGCGTCGAAGCACAAAGATCCTTAAGAAGCCATGACGTATAGCAAAGTATTTAAAAAAACTATAGATAAAATTAAGGTTTAACTCTGAAAAACAACATCATCATCATTGGGACCACTATCTTAGGATTAATGATGCTAGTCCTCTCTTGGGCATGAGAAATGCGGCACACTAACGGACTCATAATTATGATTTTTCATGAATTTGAGTCATATTGTTGATTAACATAGAAGTAACTAATATTAACCGAGGCCAACAAGGTTAATCAAATTGAACAACTTGGATCAAGAGTTCAAGATCAATTATGGTCAAAAGATTTCATTAGGACTGTTTACGTTTGACTTGTCATTAATCGAGCAAGGGCAAGGTTGACCAATCATTGATCGAGCTAAACTTGAGTTCATTGAAGATTGATTTTGTTGTATTTAACTTGTTTGTTCATTATGAGTTAAACTTTGAGCCTTAATGAAGTATAACTTAAGTTGATTGATATTTAATTGACTTGGAATTTGAATTTTTTGGTCCAAATAGAAAATTTTAGGCTGATTGACTTTGACTTGATTGACCTTATTGAAATATATTTTCAGGTGACTAGTATTTGATTGAGTTGACTTGCCTCGATTAAGTAGATTTGCTAAACCTTTAACTTAAAAGTTATAGTAGGAAAATGATTCCTGAAGCATCTCAAGACCTTGCCTAATATCACTCTCATGGTCATCTATATTGACTTCTTTTTAGTACATAGCTTTTGTAGCTTGGCAAAATTTCTTAGTTTAAAGGTGCTTTCCTTTAAGTTATAAGTTATAACAATATTTTGTTTATAAAGTAGTTTCTAATTAAATGTGCTTTCCTTCAACATTTGAAATGATCTCAACCCTAATACAGGTTCCGAACATGCTTTCTTTGTAGAACTCATCTCTAGTGCTTAAAGGTTAGAGACTTTAGGCAGTGGTGGAATTCATCTCTATAACGGATTGAGGTATGCATTGTGTATCGTTTCTTTTTTGCGACTTTTTAAATTGCATAGTTACCTACATTGCATAGTTTTCTATCTTGCAGTTTTCTACCTTATAGTTTTCTATCTTGCATTTTTCTACCTTGTAATTTTCAGTGTTTTCTACCTTGGGTTTTAATTTATGTTTATGTAATTTTATTTAGTTAACCAAATTAGAATGGAAGCACATAACAGTCAGACTTCAGCTTCTAGTTACACTGTTGCATGAGCAAGTGGACTCTGATCGAACCATTGAACCGCTAACCTCTCCTTCTTCCGCTTCATTAACCGGTCCAATTTTCAAAGCCTTTATCATAAGAAAGGTCTATGTGGCATAGAGATGTAAAGACTATTTTGGAATAAAACCATGGAAACTTGATGCTGTCTCAAGCACCATGTGGTACAGCCTCAATGAGTTTCATAGCGAATGATAATGTCTGCTTTTGATTGGAATAGAGAAACAGCGAAGTAACAATAGAGGTTCAAGATATATTTGAGATAATCCCTCAAAATTCTTCCTATTATAACAATAACAAGAAGTTTTTTTTTAGCATGAAGCAGCTTATAAGAGACAAAATGAATTTAATGCAAACTTATAAGAGGCAAAATTTTCATATTATACAGAGTTATAAAACCGACTGCACGATTAAGGCTTGATCTTTCTATTGCTGTACATAACTATAGAAAGGTGCTAAAATGAATAACGCATAAAACTCCCTTCCTCTTTGATTTAACTACCATCAACCATGATGTTTATCAAAATAGGAGATACAAAGCCCCACCTTCATTTCAATATCTTCCTTCACTGACCTCAATCCAGCAATGGCTATGTTCTCCACAACATGAAAGCAGCTCGAGCATGATTTAAGATATTTTAAGTCTGCAATATGGTGTCTCCCTTCAGGAAGTTGTCGCGGACTTCGGTTTCATTTGAGACTGTTTTTGTACTACTTTTTAAAACGGCTTTCTAGCATAAAATTTTTAAATTCAAAAAAATTTTGTACTAGAAAGATGTTTTAAAAAGCAAAAAGAAAGCCGTCCCAAACGAAACCTAAGATTTCATCTGGAATGATTTTTTTACTGCTTCTTAAAACAATTTTTTAGCAAAAATTAAAAATTTTATACTAGAAAGCTGCTTCAAGAAGCAGTGAGATAATCATCCCAAACGAAATCTCCATCAAAATTCTTCAACTCTCACAGTTGGTCGACGCCATCAGTGTACTTATTATCAACTCTCTTTTCTCTCTTCAGCAACTTCTTTCAACTCCAAAGTATAATTCTCTGACATTTTAAGATCACATTTCTTTTCACAGTCACCAAGCCACCCTTCTTTGTGCCAGGGAAGCTCAACTAGCACAGATGATTTCCTGCAAAGTGTTTGGAGCTTTCCTTCCTCACAAGCATCAGATGAATCATCAAGAACCCTTACTGTCCCTTGCCCTGGTCAAACCAAGGATTTTCTTGAGCAGAATCTTTGAATAGCCCATCATTATGGCCCTCCATTTCACTTCTCCTCACTGGTTTCAAGGTTTCACCTACTTGATCTGTAGTATGAGAATCTGCTGGCAAACTGGAGATCTTAGCAGATCTTGGCTTGAAAACTCCCCATGCATAATACTTTCCAGAGAACACTAAAGTAAAAAAGATTGCTTAGCAATTTCCTGCTATGCAAATAATTACAATGCTTGGTTTTTCTTGCTGGAGGTGGCACTTACTTTGATGTTCTCGCGGAAGCATGAACGAGGAGAAGATAAGCAACTCAACTTCATCAAACTCAAACCTTAGCATTAAATCTTTGTTGATGAAATCATCAACAAGCTCATCAAGCACAGTTTCGGCCCTGGATAAGATATAATAAACTCCTCAAATGTTATATGTAATCAGATAATCAGAAAGAAGTGAAAAAACTACAGCTTCAGATGAACAACTGATTTTGCTTCGAAGTAAGATTGGATAATGAAGCACCTATATCCATTTGAAAGAATTATAAACTTGGTAGAAGAAGTGCAAATCCAGAATGCCAGGATTCTCTATGTTTTGAAAGATAAATTTACCTGTCTGATTCAGGAAAGAAGTAAAGGGCAATATTATCAACTGTTGGGGACGAAACCTTGAAACTATTTGGCCAAGCAACCAATCGCGGAAGCTTCTGCATGTAAAGAACCAAGGGCAACTTTCTAGCAAAGTTGCATACCTTTAAACATGCTGTGGTAGACAGATGAGCCCTTAAGGGACCAAGTTCTGCTTTGTTAATGTTGAAGCATCCTCTGTTACATACAAAAGCAATGATCAAACAAAAATATCAAAATTGAAGGGGAAACAACATGAAAGGAAACTATGAGCATACTCAAATCTTATTGTTGCTGCAAACAAAATTTAAGCTTTTGATGAAATATATCTAACCTCCAAACAGGATAAATAAAAGGCAATGAAGGTGGTGTTAGTTGACAAGGAATATTAATTTCAGCTTTTGTGTCGATCCATTTTTCTGCATGTCTATCAGATGGCTTGACCGAAGTATCAGGTAACCTTTTAGTTGCAAAATTCGACGCATCTCCTCTATCAATAACAGAATGCAAACTGTTCAATTCATGCTCAGTTGGTAGAATCAAATTGACCGTTGGAATCAATCTTCTTTTCCTTGGCCTTCTTCTTTTTCGCTTTTTCTTGGATTGTGCTTTTATTTCACCTTTTAGATGACCGTTGAAAGTTCCAGACAAACTTGTTCTTGCAAACTTAATACTAGAATCTTGACCAACTGTGAAAGGTTGAATATTATCCAACTGATCCATGCCTGGTACAATCATCCTTATCACTGGCTTTTCCTTTTGCTCTTCTATTTGACCTTCTTTAAACTCGGAGCAGGTAGCTGATACTACTGCATCTAATGCGTTGGTTCCACAGCTTGAGATCCACTTTGAAGTCATGTCAGATGGTTCCATAGAAGTACAAACGACATGTTCAACTGTGAAAGAAAATTTGGCGCCTTGACCATTAATGGCAGGATCAAAATTGTCTAGCCTATAGTTGTATGGCACAATCAATCTTCTCTTTGAATTTCCCTTTCTATATTCCTCTATTTGATCTTCTGTTACTGTGAAGTAGGCAGATGATCTCACAGCATCTAACTCATTGCCATCGTTGCTTAAGCTTCTCCCTATTGTACTGGGCAACCTTTTCACTACGAATGAAATACTGCCTCCTTGACCATCAACTAGGGGACGAAAATGGTTAGTTGGTAAAATCATTCTTCTACTTTCTGACTCTCCCTTCTCATATTCTTCTATTTTATCATCTTCTTGCTTACAACAAGCAGATGATCCCACCGAACAAAAATTATGGGTGGTGCATCTTGCACCCCTCCCTAATATCACCCTACTGTCAGAAGGCTCAACAGAAGCGCCCGGCATTCCTTTGCTTGCTAATGAAAAATTTGTTCCTTCATCATTAATAAGATGATTAAAACTGTTTAACTCATCCTTGTCTGATAGAATCAATTCTCTCCTCTTTGAACTTTCCTTCTCAGATTCAACAGTTTCATCTTCTTTTAGCCCTCCTGCTTCTAATTCACAGGTCCCTCCTATTAAATGCAAGTTGGATGCCTCAACAGAGTTATTAAGTGACCTTTTAACTGCGAACTGAATATCGGTACCTTGAGCCTCTACGAGAAGTTGAGAATCATCTAACGCATCCTTGTCTGACAGAATTGGTCTTTCTCTTTTTGACTTTTCATTGTCAAATTCTTCTATATCATCATCATTCTGTTTAAACTGAGCAGATGAGATTATTGTAGCTGATGCACCACCAATAGCACAACTTAAGGTATTCCTTTCATAGTCATAGGAGACATGATTGTCTAGCTTCACACTTGAACCAATTCTAGCATTAGAAACTGTATGTTGATCTTGGGAACTAACCAAATGGTCATTAGCAGACCCAATTTCTTCACAAGGACTATTTAGTCCAATTTGGGCTCTTACAGAAGCATGATCAAGAATTCCCAGAGAAGCTGGTGTGGGGAACTTTGTCTTGCTGACAGAATTAGGAGACTTGCTTCTGCAATCTTCACACAACCAATCGATTTCTGCAGTAAGATCTTCGGGTATTTCTTCTAGGCAATAGCTGAATAGTCAAAACAAACAGCATATTCATCATAGCCAAAAGGGAGGTCGCAGAAAACCAAATAGTGTGTACAGCAAGAGCAAAATACCTATGTCTTCCAGCACTTTTGCACTCAATGCAGTAAAGAAATGCCTCACTAATACCAACATCACCGCATTGCCAACAAACATTAACCTACAATATCAGGTAACAAAAATGGAAATTCATAATTAAGAACAAAATAATAAATGAAAACCTCCAAAAAAGCGCAAAACGGCAGTACATATAAAATAATAGAATGAATATTCACTATGAAAAAGCTAACTTACAATCATCATCAGAATTAGTTTTATCCAAACTATTTGGGTTGGAGCTATGAATCCTCATTTTCCATTCAATTCAAAGTCTACTCTTTGCAAATCATTTTAACTAACTTACAATCCATATACCTTTAGGTCTACCTCTTTTTCTTCCTAATCCTCTAGCATTAACTCTATCAACTCATCTACAGGCAAGTATTCTACCTTTCTTTGTGCAGATCTGTAGAAGATGAAGGACAGAAGAAAGAAAAGCAAAAGCGGAAACAGAGACAGAGAAAGTAATAAAATGTATTTCTTGTATTAGCTAGAGATAGATACATCGGTTTATATAGCTGCTGTACACATTTACATTTCTTGCTATCCAATGAAGTAATGACACGTAAGCATGATTTTAATAAATACAATATTTAACTGTTTTGGTATTCTAATAAGATCCAAACCTTTTCAAATCTATTTTCTGCCTTTCAACCGAGCATTTGATAACACAAGAAGCAGATCAAACCATTGTAAATTTAAAGACATAATATAGAAAATATAAAAACTTATGAAACTAAGTTATTCCACATCACAAAGTAGGTAACGAAACTTTTGGCATTTCAAACAGAAGAACAAGAAGTTATCACACTAGCAATCCAAAGGAAACTCTCTATGCAGATAATAAGACACCAAATAATTTGGTGGGGTAATTTGTTTTTGATGCAGAGCAGATTAAATCATCATCCATGTCCATGCAAAGTCATCACATCAAGTATTACAACATTTCATGTCATGTTTATGTTGTATTTCATGTTTACTTTATGTGTCATGCTTATTTCATGTGCATGCTATGTTAGTCAATATTAGTCATGACTCATGAGTAATGTTCATCATTATATAAGAGAGTGACATAGATCCTAAGTCCTAACAGTCATTGGTTCTTCTCTATGCATACCATAATCATGTGCTAAGAAAAATAATTTTGCAACATAATTTTATTATATCTCATATTTAAGTGCATAATGAAGACACATTATGGGGCCATTTGGTTGGATGAAAAAAATGCGGAGTAAAATGGGTTACAATCTAAAAGGAATACATATATGTGAAATGTTTGAGATTGTTTGGATGAGTGTAAAATAAATATATGTGAGCACTTTTTTATTTTGCTTGAAGTAAAATGAATGCAATAATCGTAGTGAATTTGCAGTGTATTTGAAAATCGGTCAGATCTAATAATTTCCAAAATTAAACTAGAGAGTGAATTACAAATACACCAAAAGTTTAATTTGCATTTATTTAACTTCAAATCGAATGCCAATAATTTTACACTCACTTTATTTCAAACCAAACACCCCAATGTCTTTCTTTTATTAGCCTAGAATATTAAAATTTCGTATTGAAGATCATCTTACATATAAATTGTGTTTTAAGAATGTTTCGAGTTGTGGGCCATTACTTGCTTGATCTTGAGGGCAAGGTTAGTTTGAAGGGATGTGTAATGTTGGGGATCCGAAATAGAATTTAAGTGTTAAAAGTTAAATAAATGTAATATATAATTCAGTTGAGTAGGTTTTTTAGGTACTTAATAGATTTTTATTGTGTTGTGCTATTAGTTCTATTGTACATTTATAAATAGCGTCCATTCAAAGACATTAGAATAAATGAAAATAATAAGGTAAGTCACTCCCCAATTTTCTCCCCTTTTGTATTTGGCACCTTGGCGAAGAACTCAAATCTGCAATAATACTGAGTTGCCAACATAGTCGAATCCACCATTTATCCCTACAATCCTTCAGGGTCACATCACTCACGCTGCCACATCCATAACAATTCTCTTTACGTCTTCTTAAAATGATGAAGAAGATGTCTTAAGGAAAATCTTGTGATTGACGGGCACCTCACCAACTCATGGACCTGATATATTATCTAGAATATTGATAAGGGATTTCCATGAAGTTTGATCATTTATGAAGGAAGTGAAATATGAAACAAAATAATTTTACTTCACCTCACTTCAAAATGATAATGAAAATAATAATATTTTTGCATCCAAACCCTTTATGTTACATCAAAACATGATCCCACCAAACAGCTCAAAACACTCTCATAGAACCTTTCTAGTAAAGCAAGCTTTCAAACTAATCCCTAAGCAGCAAAAATAGAATCATTGGCTTCAACGAAATGGCAGAACCAGGTGATTGAAGAGCAGCCCCCTCGTCCCCTTAAACTTGGGATAAACCCCATTGTAATGAACCACGTATGGTATATACATAGCTACTTATAATATAGAAACTTGCCACAAGATACCCTTTTTCTTCTCTCCTTTTAAACCCTAGTTCTACCACTACATCCACAAAACCCAATTTGAAAACCCTAACAGAATGTACCTTGAAAAATCTAAAAGGAAGCTCCAACATGAAAAACTAAAAGTAAAGATGACTTAAACGATTTCTGAGTCTCATGCCAATGAAAAAAGATTACAGATTGACCCATAAAAATAAAAAAAAAAGCGCAAAAGAAAAGAGTTTACCATTTCCAGACAGGGAACCACTGACGGGGAGAAATTATAAAACTCGAGAACCAGGGGATCATATAAAACCGCTGCTGTGAGAAAGCCTGAGTAGGTGGTGGACTATTAGGGAAACGGTTTCCCATTTCTAGGTATGTGGAATTTCTTATAGGAAACGGAATTCATATGTAATCGTTTCGCCTGTAAATCCAACATCCTTCATCGCGTTCCGTTTTCGTTTGTACAACGTGCGTCTTTGCAAGCGGTTTCGCGAAGCCAGGCCGGATGTCAAATTGACCCACAAACCAGTTAACCTGTTTAATATTTTTTTATTTAATTTCTTTTCTTATAAGTATAATCTTATTATTTTTAATCAAATAGCTTTAACTTTATAATTAATAACTTAGAATTTTCTTTAATCAAAATAGGTTAACTGGCTAGGTTTGGATCATTTAGATTGCTAACGTGATAAATTCATATTGATCTTTTGGACCCGTTAATTAAACGACATAGATTACAAATGACGCCTTTCCTTGGGGGGAAGGCCATGGTTTGATATAACAAATATATATCATATAGAGTGCATTACATGCTGGCAATTGGAAGAATCAGTATTTACATGTTCGATTTTTGTTTGGTCGGCAGGACTATAGTCGATGGGTGACGGAGGTTGGAAAGATCGTATTTTGGTGACAATGTTTGTAAGGACTATATTCAGCGGGCGACGGAGGTTGGAAAGATCGTAGTCTGATAATGGAGATTGGAAGGACCACAGTCGACGAGTGACAGTGCTTAGAAAGATTGTTGTTTGACGACAGAGGTCGGAAGGACTGTATTCGGTGGGTGACAGTGGTCAGAAAAGATCGTTGTTTGACAACATAGGTCAGAAGAATCGTAGTCGGCAGGCGACAGTGGTCAGAAAGACTATTGTCTGGCGACGGAGGTCGGAAGGACAGTAGTATTGCGATGGAGGTCAGAAGTATTGTAGTTGGCGGCCAACATTGGTCAGAAAGACTATTGTCTAGCAATGGAGGTCGGAAGGATCGTAATCTTGTGATAGAGATCGCCATGACCGTAATCGGCTGGTCAAAGTGGTAAAAAAGATCGTTGTTTAACGACGAAGGTCAGAAGGATCGTAGTTGGCAGGTGACATTGGTCAGAAAGACCGTTATCTAGCGATGGAGGTCGGAAAGACAGTATTTAATTGGCAAAATTGGTCAGAAAGACTGCTGCCTAGTGACGGAGGTCGAAAAGAACTTAGTTTCGTGATGGAGGTTAGAAAGATCATATTCGAAAGACCACATTAGTCAGAAAGATCATTATCTGGCGATTGAGGTCGGAAAGACTGTATTTGGAGGGAGACAACGATCGAAAGACAGTTGTCTAGTGACGGAGGTCAAAAAGACTGTAGTATTGCGACGGAGGTTATAAAGACTACACTTGGCGGCAAGGTGGAAGCTAATGTCACTTGGTGGCCGTGTAGAAGTCCGACATTAGTTGGTTGTCAGGCATAAGTCCAGCATCAGTTGGTGGTCGAGCAGAAGCCCGGTAATAGTCTGACAATTATTAGTAGTCTAACGGTGGTCGAGGAGGAATTTGGTGGCAATAGAACTCTAATCTCTCTCTCTCTCTCTCTTCTCTTCCTTACTTGGGTCCCCCTTAGTGAAGAATGAGAAGCTACTTATAGTTTTCTAAAAATGACAATAAATAATAGGGAGATCAAGATATGTTGGGAGTGTTTTAAATGGACGATCGACATTGATCCCTTTGATCGTGGACCGTTTACTGAGCATTTGAATGTCTTAATGATATTAGAATTTGACAATCTTGGACTTGTTGGATTTGTCTGATCGAGCTGCTAGATTCTACTATTACCATGTTACGTTTGGAAATCGTTTTTTCATCCAATTTATGGTTTGAACCTTCTAAAGATACTTTGAGTCTTCGATTTTGACTCATTTGGGCTTAGATTAACTCGAATTTGATGTCGTTGGATTCGCCTTTTCGAGACGTTCAGTTTGACTATAAGATTGAAATCAGAGTTCATATGATTATGAATTTAATTTTAAAAATTTTCTGCACAGGAATAAACATTTATCCAATTGGGCAAATAAGACAATAAATTATGCTCATCATTTGGAGTTGTTCTTAATTGTATGGTCTTCAAAATTAATTCTGAAAACTTTTTAATATTGCATTGAGAGTTATGATTATCAAATTGAATTTTTTTAAATCATATCAATAATCATCCTAACAATTATAGGATTCATTAAGAAATGTTATAAAGGTGATTATAAAATTATTATAAGAACAATAATTGTTTAAAAAACTACTTTATAAAATAATTTTCTAGCAAAAAGTTTATTAGAAATTATTGGTCAAATAAAAATTTTAGTCCAATATAAATAATGAAACAGTAAAAATCTCTCTCAAATGAGGACCAGTAAGAAGAACTCTAATATTAGCCCGCACTTAAAATATCCTAAATATTATTGAGAAGACTATTAAATTGATATTTATTTTATTTTTAAGCGTCTGCACTCCGCATATAGAATATTTTTATGTTTTTTTAAATGATCTCTATATTACTAATTGGATTTATTATGGTCACCCACCAAGGCTTAGGGTGATTGGCCCCATTTTGAGTTTGAATCCCCCATACTACTGCTTCGCCTTTTCAATGGGGCAAAACAAGTGTGAGCTCGATGCCGGTGGGTGGTGTCGCTACATCCCGAGGGTCTAATTATGCCGTCGAGCGCTCCTCTTAGAATAGCAACCGGTAAATATCCCTTAAAAAAAAATAAAAAAAAGGTTATTATGGTCCAGCAACCCTTAAGAAACATAGACCGACAGTCCATCCTACTTGCTTGATTTTTGCTTCATGGCTGAGAACCAAATCCACGCATAAATGTAATCGGTGGGCCCGTCGGCTCATGTCACCTAGAAATTTTTTATGTTTTTAAAATATTTTTAAAAATAATTGATATATCATCAAAAAATTATCTTGATCGGACAAGAATCTCGAGGCAAAATAAAGTCGGAAACTTCATAAATTAAGGACAAATTTTTAAAAGGATCAAGTTTCAAGTCAGATTTAAGAGAAGGAGCAGAATATAATTTTAATTTAAAAAGGAGCAAAAACGCACTACATGATCACGTTTTCTTTGAAAACGAAAAAAAAAAATTGCGTTTTAACAGAAAACGTGAACAGTGATTGCATTTTCTGTTAAAACATGAATAGTAACCGCATTTTCTATTAAAACTTAATTTTTTTATGTTTTATATTTGGGGTGAAATTTTTATGTTTTTTTTTCAACTTTTTAGAGGATGAAAAGAGAGAGAGAGGTAGAGAGAGGGATGGATGGAGGGGAGAGAGAGACACAAATGGAGAGAGAGAGAAACAGATAGTGGAAAATTATTTAATTTTAAAATTTTTATTAACTTTTAAATTAACTTTAATTTTTTATAAACTTTTTAGTTATATTTTAAATATTTAATTATATTTTAATTAACTTTAATTTTTTTAGTAAATTTTAATTATATTTTAAATATTTAATAATGATAAATATTTATAACCTATGTTGCACGGTTACTTCTATTTATGAGGCATGTTGTACCGGATATAAGTCGGATACAGACACGCCTCCGATAAGGCACGGATACATGTCAGATACGAATTTATCGTGCCCAATTAAAAGATTATTTAAATTTGACGAAAAAAATAGAGCGGCAACAAAAAAGTTAATAATTTTCAATAAACAGAGCGGCAACAAACTTTTCCTAATTTTAACTTATTTTTAATTTTAAATAAAAATATTTTACTTCTTTTTATCTCATTTTTTTTTTTAAAATAAAAATATATTTTTAAATATTAAAAATAATTTTATTTAAATATATTCTAAAATTTTAAAGATTAAAACTAAAAAAATTAAATATTATTAGATTATATCAATTTTAATAATATTTAAAAGTTTTTAAATTTTTTAAATATCTTATAAATATTTAATAGTTAAAATAGTAATCATTATTAAATATTTAAAATGTAATTAAAAAAATTATAAAAAATTAAAGTTAATTAAAATATAATTAAAGAGAGAGGAAGGTGAAAAAAAAACTTAAAATTTAGCCGGAATGTAAAACATAAAAAAATTTAGTTTTAATAGAAAATGCGGTTACTATTCACGTTTTAATAGAAGAAGAATCAATCATGTTTCACGTTTTTTTAAAACGCAATTTTTTTTGTTGCGTTTTCAAAGAAAACTGATCATGCAATATCGTTTTCGCTTCGTTTTTAATTCAAAATTTACATTATGCTCCTTATCTTAAATCTATCTTGAAACTTGATCCTTTTAAAAATTTGCCCATAAATTAAATTAAGGATCACCTGAATTCCGATTTTAGAAAACGTACAGTCAAACTGAGCGTCTTGGAAATACGACCCAACGACATCAAATTTGACTCAAGCCCAAATGAGTCCAAATCAAGGATCTGAAGCGTTGTTGGAAAGTTCGAACCACAATTTGAGTTACGAAACGGTTTCCAAACATAACGTGCTTATAGTCGAATCAAGCTTCTCGATGAGAAAAATCCAACGAGCCTAAGATCGTTGAATTCTGGATTTTTGTCCATTATTGAATTTTTACCTAATGTCATCCTTCTAACCATTGTCGTCAGATAACGGTGCTTTTGACCTCCGTTGCCCGTCGACTACTGTCCTCCTTCTGACTTGCGTCGCCCACCGACTATAGTTCTTTAGGCCTCCATTGCCCGCCGACTATGGTCCTTCTGACCCATAGTCGTCCTTCTGGATTACGTCGCCCACCAACTACAATCATTATGACCTCCGCCGCTAGTCGACTACATTCCTTCCGACATTCGTCGCCCGCCGACTACGATTCTTTTAACTTACATCGCCCACCGACTACGGTCCTTCTGACTTATGTCGCTCACCGACTACAGTCATTCTGACCTCCATCGTTCGCCGACTACGGTCCTTCTGACTTACGTCGCCCACCGACTACAGTCCTTTCGACCTCTGTCGTCCGTTGACTACGGTCCTTCTGACTTATGTAGCCCGTCGACTATGGTCCTTCTTACTTATGTCTCCCACCGACTATAGTCCATTCGACCTTGTCGCCCGCCGACTACGATCCTTCTGACTTACGTGCCCACTGCTACAGTCCTTCTGACCTTCGTCGCCCGCCGACTACGATCCTTCTGACTTATGTCGCCCACCAACTATAGTCCTTTCGACCTCCGTCACCCACCGACTATAGTCCTTCCG